GTGTCATCACCATGCCTTCCCACAGACCTTCTAAGTCCCGGCAGCCCACTGTCCCCAGCCCTGCCTCAGAGCCATATCAGTGCAAGGTGCTGGCCACTCCCACTGAACATAATCAACACATGGAGCAGATCTGGTTTCAGGTGAGGCTTTATCCAGGAGTCAAGCCAACTAGAACCCAGTTATTCTCCTTTTCTCGGCTGTTTTCTCAGTTTGGGCTCCATTTTGAGCTTTGGCTCCGTCAGGTGTCTCCTTCAGATCCCGGGGTGACTGTGCCAAACTGCCCGGTCTCCCTGCTTCCTCTTGTCTTCAGGGAGGGAGAGTGCTCTTCTCCCAGCATTCCCAGCAAGAGCACTGGGCCTGCCTCTGATTGGACAGACTCAGGTCATGTCCTCTCCTGAGCCTGCAGCCCCAGGAGGGGGAACGTGCTGATTGGTCTGACCAAAGTCATGTGATCCCAGTGGGGCTGAGTGGGTGGAGACCATTTCCTGAGACCAGGTGAAACCTCAACCAGAAGTTAGGGCTGGTGGAGGGAATGGAGGAGAGGGATGGATGCGGGGAGGGCACACAGGGATGAAATCTTGCTAGTCACCCTCGTTTCAGCATCAGTCTTTCCTCTCTAACCGGAAGGAGTGTGGTTTCCTTTCAGGAGTACATCGATGCCCACCCCGAGACCATTGTCCTGGACCCCCTTCCTGCCATCAGGACACTGCTTGACCGTTCCAAGTCCTACGAGCTCATCCGGAAGATCGAGGCCTACATGAAAGGTATGGCACATGTGGCTCGGCCTCCGTGGCAGTTGGCTCACCCCATGGACACAAGGTGGCCTTTGTGTGGGGCGGGACGAGGGGAGTCTGGTCTTTTTAAGCACTTTCATGTGGGAGGCAATTGAACATTCTGGGGAGGACGTTTCCTTCTCCAACTATGACCAGCAGAGTTAGGAAATAAAAGCCCTCGGGTGCTCTTTGGGAGAGTGGCTCCAACCCCTTCAAGACGGTTTTGTTTTGTTGTCTTAAACCCATGAGTGGTGATGAAGTGTCCAGATAACACAGTGGTTAGAGAGCAGAAATGTGTGCAGAATAGCTCAGCGGCAGCCGGGCGGGCGGAAAAGGAACGGGGCAAAAGAGGAAAACAGAGAAATTACAGGGCCTTTCATCAAACACATGGAGATATGTAATGTGGCGGCTGGACCTCGCGGGGCACGCTCTGTTCTCGCAGGCAGCAGCCTCCCTCTTAGCTGCCCGAGCGCCTCCTGCCAGCTCCAGGCTCTTGCCCCTGAGGACTCATCCTCCCCACCTCCCCGGGCAGGGCAGCTCCGGAGCAGTCAGACTGTCTTTCCGAGGTGTTGTTTATGTGAGAAGGGCTTTTTGGAAAGATCCACATTAACGGTAACCTCCTAGTCCTCCGCCTGGTCCACGCGTCCCCTGCTGAGTTCTTGTTTAACTTAAAGAAAAAGTGTTTTGCCTGGGCCCTGGGGCTGGGGGAGGGTTCATCTTAGAGGTGAGAGTGGCAGTCCCTGTACCTGCCATTCAGATGCTGTGTGTGTGGCCAGAAGGGGCTGCCTGGATCTCTGACCTGGCCCCAGGTGTCGTTCGTTTGGTGGTTGGCCCAGTGGTACTTTGGTTCACAGGACCAGCCTGGGAGTAACACGAGCAGGATTTATTGGGTACATGCTGAGTGCCCAGCCCCGGGCTGAGCCTTCTTCTTACATTTTCTCCTCTGGTGCTTATGCAAATGGACAGGATCATCCTCCCTGTTTTGCAGAAGAGGCTCTGAGAGGTTAGCAGTTGGGCCAGCATCACACAGCCTGTAAAATGCAGAGCCAGAATCTAGCCAGGTCCCTCCAACTCAAGCTCCCCAGCTCCTAACTCCTAAGCTTGACTTTCATGTCCATAGTCAGAGGGCCCTGGATCTAGCAAGCCCCTGGCATGGATGCAGTCATGGACCCTTGGTTCTCTAAAGTGTGCTCTGTGGAAGACATGGGTGCTGGCCTCTTTCCTTGGGTCTGAAGTCAGTGACCATGTCAATTTATATTCCCTTTGCATTCCTTTCCTGGGTCCAACCAGAACCCCCAGATGAAAAGGAAGATCTAAAGTGATGCTTTGGCTGAACGTTGGTGCTGGAAAGGAAATCCATCTCTTCCCAGGAAGTGTGTGTGTTCCCAGCTACGTGTGAAGGAACAGGAGGGGATGGTAAAAGACAGGAGGGCCTGGTTAGTGGGCAGAGTTGCAGGTCAGCAGTAGAGGCAAGTCTTTTAGAAGAGAGATGCCTTCTGATTGGGGATTTGGGGATTTGGGGAGGGCTCTGCTGAGAGGGCTTTTTGGAGTGAAATGTACAAGCTTTTGTAGATGTGGACTGAGATTGTGTCTGAATCTTGCTGCTGTGTGATCTTGGCCAAGTCTGTTGACCTGGCCCTGCCTGTTTTCTGTAAGATGAGTAAAAAATAAGCGGTTTATCCATGGGGCCTGGGGTTGGGATAACGGGATGATGTCTGAAGAGCACTTAGCACGGGCCTCGGCCCATGGGGTCACCCAGAAACGGGAGGCACTGTCACCGCTCCTGTTACAGGGGAAAGGGCTGAGGCAGCTGGATTGGATCTTGGGATCTGTCTCCATTTTTGTGGGCAGATAATCAGGGCTGGGGTCAAGGGTGAGCCCAGGCCTGGAGTGTGATCATGCGTGTTCAGGGACCAGGGCCGCGGTGATGGGCTAGACCGCAGGGTACATGGGAAGGAGGCCTGTCCCTGGTGGGTGAGTACTGAGAGGGTGACAGCCTGGGCCTCCCACACAGGGCAGGGTGTGAGCAAAGCGGGCCAAGAGCCAGAGTGTGGGGTACTTGCACGGACCTGCAGACCATTGGTCAGAGGGAGACTGAGAACACCTCGTGCAACTGGGGACTCCATTCGTGAGCAGCCTGTGAAGGTGTATGAGCTGGTGAGTGAGGAGATGAGAATACGTTTTTTAGGTAGGCAGCGCAGGGGGGCCTGAGACCTTACCCCCACCCACGCTACGGGCTGGTGACCAGCCCCTCAAACTCAAGTGCTGTCAGCTGAGGAGCTGCCTGCGAGAACTTGCTGACCAAACTCAAGAGACAGGCTTGGTCCTGGGCCAGCAGGCATTGTTGCGTGGGTGGGCCGTGACCGCTGCTCCCTGGGTTTTCCTTATCGTGCACGCCGAGCCAGGCCGGTATTCTTCCAGGAGGGCAGGCAAAGGCTGGGACTTCCTGGAGCCTTTTCCTGCCCACCCGGGGGCTGTTGAAGCACTGCTGGCTCCCACCTCCCATCCTCCCAGAGGCTGAGGCTGCTCCCCGCGCAGATGCAGAGAACCTCCTCTGGGAAGTGCATCCCTGGCACTCCCCGCCCCACGCCTGCTCTTCCTGGAGGCACACAGCCCCATTAGGCCTACCGTAAAGGGCCCTAATTACCCTTCCTCGATTTCAGCAGTCCAAGTGATGCTGCTTTTATGTTGGGAGAAGGGGCTTGGCAGAGACTCCTGGAGTTGTCACCATCCCCCAGGCCGAGGCAGCTCTCCCTGTCCTCAGAGAGCTTGGGTGGCTGCAAAGAAGAAAGGGGGGAGGCTCTTGCAGGGAGGTGACCGAGGCTCCCTGCTCTGTAGTGGGGGTGGGCTTGTGGGCTGTGACACATGGGGAGGGCGCTCGGATCGAGGGTCCACGCCCAGGCGGGCCTTCCGTCTCCATGCAGAGCATCAGCAGGGGCGGCCTCCTGCCTCCCAGCCTCACTCTCTGAGTACGTAATGCCACTTGGAGTGGTTGGTGCCATCTCAGTTCTAGTTCCCAGAGCTCATCTTTTTCTAATTCAGAGCCTGGAGGGGAGACAGGGTCCTTCCTGCCTCAGACCTATTGGTCTTAAGCCTGCTGCTAAGGTTGCTGCCACAGCAGAGACCCTAGAGGAGGCTGGATTAATGGAGATGGACTTCATTGCTCTCTCATGTGAAAGCCCAGGGCAAGGCCACCCAGTGCTGGCGAGCGACAGCGGGAGCCCAGGCTTCCTCAGGCTTGTTGTTCTGTGGTGTGGCCTTTCTGGTCCAAGGCAGTGCTGAAGCTCCAACCATCATGTCCAAAATCTAGACATTAGGATGGAGAGGGGACTAAGGAAAAGAAAGCAAAGAGAAATATCCCAAGTTATCATTTAAGGAAAAGTTCTGGAAGCTACAGTGATGCTCTCTGTCCATACCTCATTGGCCAACTGAGTCACATACTGAGCTCCAAGGGAGCTGGGAAATGTGGTCTTCATTTTGAGCAACCATGTGCCAAATTTGGGAGCTCTGTCATCATGGAAGAAGGGGAAGAATGAGTTTTTTTGGGACAACTAGTTGTCTGCCTCCCCACCTTCTGCAAGTGGGTTCCTGTCTGCAGAATCCATGAGTGAATGTGAGTGACTCTTGGAATGACCTTTCCCTGTCCAGCTGGCCAGGGTGGCTGGCCTCAGTAGCGAGTCCCTTCTATACAGCAGCTCAGACAGAGTGAAGTCAGTAGGCTTACAGAGTGACCCACCCCAGAGTGCCTGGGCCGCAGGTTTCTCTAATAGATGATCGCTTCTGGGTGGGCTGCACCCACACCCTTTGGCCAGAGGCACAGATGGTACTGAACCTGGATCCAATTCAAACCAAGTATAGGAGCTTCCTGGAAATTGATGGGGGTGGAGGAGGCTGTGTCACAAGCCAAGATTGCTGGACACAGGTCTCGAGGCCTCTTCTCTCATGGGCACCTGCTCTGCTGCATAGGGCCAGGATTTTCAGGTTGAAGTCTGACCAAGGCCTGATTCTGCCACTCCAGGCTGAGCGGTTCTGAGCAAGACTCTAGCCAGCCCCTGAACTGGCTAAAGCTTTGGGTGAGAAAGCTGTGATTGGATGACAGGGTTGTCTCCTTGGAGTGGCAGCTGGTGGAGGGTCTCAGGCCACAGGGCAAAGGACTCAGAGGCCTTCCTGAGCTGATGATGGCTGCTGATGAGGTGTGGCTCCCCCGGCATCTCCCACACATGCGCTCGGGGGATGACAGATGGCAATCCGGACGCTGGGCCTCCCTGGGGAGGGAGGCGCACACCACAGATCGAGCATCTCTGCCTGTGGTTTTATGGGAATTTAATCAGGGCTCATCTTGGAGGCTGTTTGGAGGCCAGATTGAAATGGAGTAATCTAGACAGCAAGCAAAGGGAAAATACTACTCCGTAGGGCCTGGGAGAAGTGATTCCCACAGAGCAGCCGTCCC